AAAGATGTTGAAGAGCATAGTATCAGGAGGGATGTCTGCCCTCTTAGATGCTACAAACAGTGGGTATGTTTCCAAAAAGGATTGGGGGAAAGTGTTTTTAATAGATAAATAGACGAGACTGCTTTGTTGCTACTTTCCTTGGTTAATCCATGCATTCACCGATTTTTTTTGTTGGGTTTTTTTTGGGTTTTTTGGGGGTTTTTTTGTAGTTTTATATAGTGGCGTCTGTAGATGACTAAATCACTTAGGGGCAGATTTTTGAAGATGTGTGGATGTTTATTTTCTGTCTGAGAGCATCCAGATCCCTTAAAAAAAAAAAAAAAAGTAAAAAATATCCCTTAGGCCAAGCTATTATGTTTCCTTCAGTCTTCACAAAACATTATCTTTGTTCTTCTGAGTTTCTAGCTTCTTAAAATGTGTTGCATCTCTCATGTGTCAGCCCTGAAAATAACGGCCATCCAGGCACTTTTTCTAATCCGCAAGCATCTCCTCCGTTTCCTCTATCCAAGGAAGGCTGTGTAACCAGATAGGCTTTCAAGGTCATACCTATATTTTTGCTACCAAACACAGTTCTTTTCCCATTGCCACAACACGTGCATATGGCCTGGGTACCATGGATGCCGTATGTCTGTCCTCATTGAGAGAGGCAGTGTGGCAGAAGACGAGGAGTTTGTGGCTACCTATGTCACATTTACTGTTTGCCCTGTTTCACCTGGGGTGGTTTTCACATTTACACAGTGATGGCCAGACCTGAATCCTCATGTTACGATACAAAAAACAGAGGAGGACTGACCCATGACTGTTTTCAGTGTTAGCCCTTTTTGCCCAATGCTCCCCCTGCCCCACTCCTGCCATTGACAGGAAGCCATGACCATCGTCTGTGTCGATGGCTGGACCTCGCCAGCAGAAGGAATAAGGGAAACAGAGCCCAACCTTAACGATTAGATACAAAATTGGCAACTTCATCACATGTTGCTCTGATGATTACATTTGATTGCTGTTTACTTTTTTACCTGGGAGCCGGCTGCAGAAACACCAGATGGTTATAGTCAGGGTGGGATTTGGAGAAGGCCATGCAAGCTGTTATGATAGGAGGCATACCCAACATTCCATCAGCAACAGAGGCATCTTGACCTTTGGTATTTTGTCAGAAGCTGTTTGGTTTTTTTTCTTTTTCTTTAACTATTTTTTCTTTTTTTTTTTTTTTTTTTTTTTTAATAACTAAAAAATGAACCACTTACTTAGAGAGGTGCAGTTATTTTGGAGAGTCCTGCAAAATTTGGGGAGGACCTGACACTAGCTATTTCCTCTCCTGTAGGCACAGGTAGCAGGCCAATATTGGTTAGCATGCAGACAGTTTTTCAGTTCAAAGAGCAGTTGATCAGATAGGCTCGTGGGTTAATAGGTGTTCAGGTAAAAATGAAAGCCTGACAGCTGGAGAGGTGGTCACACAAGCAAGGGAGGCCATGTCTCACCTTCTGGTGCTGCACTTTTGTCAGCTCGGACCCAACATGCAGAAAAAACAGCTGAAAGACTGAGTGATTTGGAGAGGGAAGTGTTGAGTGTTTCTGCTATTTCTTTTCTTCTTACAGCTTTCACACTCCCCTTTTCAAGTGGTTTTCTGCAGTAGCTGGAACTGGAGAGGGAGAGATTGGAGTCACTCATTCCTAGAGCTGGGGCTTGAAGTAAGCATCTGAAACTGCAAAATTCACACAAAAGGGACTGGGAGGTGGTGTCACTTGGCAAAACTTGTCCTGTCAGTCTTTGCAACTGACTTAAGCTGTGCCAGTGATATCAGCCTCAGTGTCTTGCACAGGTCCATCAGATAAAATTGTGGGTTTTTTAATGGAGTCAGTAACAAAACTTGTAATGCCGTTAAAGCCAGGAGGACCGTTACTCCACTCCTCTAGTTTGGCCTCCTGACTTGGAGTTTTCTCCGTGTGCTTCTGTACCAGTCCCATTGCTAGGGCTTGCTTCAAGTACCCCCCTGGCCTCCCTTCCCTCAGCCCTCTCAGATGTCACTGTTGCAAATAATAGTAAAACCAAAGAAAAAATGTGGTTCCGTTTATTAACAAGAAGGTTTACAAGGTATCTTGATCCTGAAGGTATAATTCAGGCCACAGATAGCAGTGCAGAGCCTTTGTTCCTCGTATGGGAAGACCGTGATGAGCCTTAAGGGCAACTAAGCTGGAATTCATGCCCAGAAAATGAAGCACAACAATTGTTTGCATTGTTTTTTTATAGAAAGAATATGAAAACCCCGAATTTGATTTATTAGCATTGCAAGAAGTGTATAGTCAAACAGAAGTCAAGTTTTATATTTTTTTGGAAGTAGTATGTTTTGCATCCACAGCAAGTAGATAAAAGCTTTCTCTAACTAGTTTCATTTATCACGAGAGCATTTGATGCTACTGCTTCCTCCATATTAGGTAAAAGCTTTTATAAAACATTCATAAACTTCCATAGTTATTACTGAATTGTAATGAATGTCTAAACAAACTTGTGGATGTTTTGTAGCCTTTTACATACCCTGTGTGTATCTTCTCTGTGCCAGCCTAGCCCTTTAAGCCTGAAAAAGTAATTCTTTTTTTGTATTTGAGATCACTTTGTCCCAAGAAGACAAAGTGATAAAAAATAAGAGGGGTTAAAAAAAAGGAAAAAAAAAAACAAAACAAACAAGCAAAAACGACAACAACCCCCCCCCCAAAAAAAAAACCCAAACAAAACAAAACTATGTGCTAGCGGAGTACCCAAAGGGCAAAAAAGACCACCAGCCTCCTGGGCTGCATTAGGCAGAGCATTGCCAGCAGGTCGAGGGAGGTGATCCCACCCCTCTGCTCAGCACTAGTGAGGTCTATCTCGGTGTTGGGTTCAGTGCTGGACTACCCAGTACAAGAGAGACAGATACTGGAGCCAGTCTAGCAAGGGGACACAATGGGAGATTGAAGCATCCCCCAACACAAGAGAGACATAGAGCAGCTAGAACAAGTCCAGAGGAGGGCCACGAGGATGTTCTGAGGGCTGGAGCACCTCTCCTATGAGGACAGGCTGAGAGAGTTGGGGCTGTTCAGCCTGGAGAAGAGAAGGCTCTGGGGAGATCTTATAGCGGCCTTCCAGTACCTGAAGGGGCTACAAGAAAGCTGGGGAAGGACTTTTCATAAGGGCAGTTAATGACAAAACAAGGGGAAATGGGTTTAAACTGAAAGAGGGCAGGTTTAGATTAGATATTAGGAAGAAATTCTTCACTGTGAGGGTGGTCAGACACTGGAACAGGTTGCCCAAGGAAGTTGTGGATGCCCCCTCCCTGGAAGTGTTTAAGGCCAGGTTGGATGAGGCTTTGAGCAACCTGGTCTAGTGGAAAGTGTCCCTGCTCATGGCAGGGGGTTGGAACTAGATGATCTTTGAGGTCCCTTCCAATCCTAACCATTCTGTGATTCTATGATCTCTATGTAGGGAGAGGCTGGGAGATCTGAGACTCTCCAGAGGATCTTACTGATCTGTATGAGTATCTGATGAGGCACAATAAAGAAGATGGAGCCAGGCTCTTCTTAGAAGCATCCAGTGTTAGGACAAGGGGCACAAATTGAAATACAAAAAAATTACATTTAAATGTAAGAAAAAACTTGCGTGCTTTTATTTGCCTTTTTTTTTTTTTTTCTCTCCCCTGTGAGGGTGGCTAAGCACTGGTACAGGTTGGCCATAGAGGTTGTGGAGTCTCCATCCTTGGAGATACAAAAAAATCAGACTGACCACTTGCCATGGGCTCTAGTTGCCCATGATTTCCAGAGCTCCCTGCCAACCTCAGCTATTTTGCGTTTCAGTGGTATCTTTGGTGCAGCAAGTGTGGAGCCTTTCCTATGGTTATAAGGGCAACGATCTGCACATTGAGCAGCTTGGAGTGAGAGCAGACCGTCTGCCTGTCTCTGCTGCAGAACCAAGCAGCTGTTAAATAATGACTTGTGTTCACTAATGACATCAAATGGATTTTTAACATGTAAATGAGAAGGGGAAAGCGGGGTAACTCATTATTAGCTATGGGTTTGCCTGAAGCAGATTTCCCATGTTAAAGTACTTAAAAGCAAATCCAGAATTTATGATGTGTTGGTAAATTTTAAACCTGAGTAATGTCCAGTTGTTGTAATGGCTAATAATGCAAATTATCTGAGTCAGCCTCCGTGTAAAGTGGTAAATATATCCTGCCCCTTCAGACACACTTATTTTTTTTTCCCCCTTTCCCATTAATATTTTATCCCCCTGAAGAGTTGTTTTCAACATATTATGTGTACCAGCATGCTGCACTCGTGATATTCCTGGATGTCATTACAAAGAAGCCTGAAGACTGTACCGCTGCTCTGCTGCCTGTGACGCTAGCTTGGAAATTGCTTGGAGCAACAACAGCAAGTGTCAACAGGGAGCTGTATTAATTATTTGGAATGTGTCTCATAAGAGGAATCAACTGCTTTTATTGCAGCACAAATATTACTTGAAACGGGAAGGTTACTCTAACTGTTGTCATAATCTATGTGTCATTAACTTTCCATGTTTAGAAAAAGAGATTAACAACCCTGTAAATTGTTACAGTAAATAGGTGAATTATAACAATATGTTTTTATTATAAATAGAAGTTTCTTGATAGAGTTACCTCCAAATTACTGGAAAATAATTGAGTCTTTAACAATGGGGAAACTGCATGGCGGTATTGGGAACCAAAAAACTTCCACCCAGGTGAAAGCAATGCTGAGCTCCGCAAACTGATATCTGTGTCTTCTGCAGGTGGGAAAAACAGATGCAGTTGTACTTCATACCATGCTTCCTTCAAAAATTACTATGACACTGAAATGCTTGCTCCCCTCTTAGAGTGAGATTAACAGATTGATTTGGCTTGTGTGAAATCGGTTGTCTTCTATGGCATATGGTTTTTTAAGAGAACACCATGCAAAATGTCCATGGTAGTGGTAAAACTACTTTAGGTTTGGTGTCTTTAGGTATAACTGAAGTTCAGCATAGTACCCATATCTGTATGGAAAAAAGCAAAAGAAATGAGAGCATTTTCAACTTTTCATCAGGTGTCTCCACAAAATTGAAGTTCGTTGTGAAAAATGCACAATAGAACAAAATACTTGCAAAGTTGTTGTGAATCCAGTGCCATAAAAATGCTGTATGTTTAATTATAACCCTGATAGATCTCTGTAGGAAACAGTGGAACTAAAACACTTATTTGTCTACAGGACAGGCTCACCATGGGCAGGTTTCCTACATTGCCCCACCAATCCACCTCGATTCGGATCTGGAGAGACCGCTGTCCAAGGGTGAGTCAGTGACACAGTCTCCATGCACGTGTATTGTGAAGCAGCCATAGGTGTGAGTGCATATCATCCATTCGTTCATAGAGCCTCCGTGATAAAATTACCACCCTCCATCCAAGGACACTCTCAGGAGCAGATTAATTCCTGCAAGAAAGTTGTATGAGAGATGACCATGTCCCATGTGCTCCATTACATAGCTTTGAACTTACCATCTTGTTCACAAGCTATTTTGCTGTTCCCTACTAGTTTACTTCTGCAGGGACAGGTTTACCTAAGGTCTTGCCCTCTGCCTTCCTCCTTCCCTTCCTAATGGCAGTGCACAGGCACAGGGGGCAGGATGCAAAAAGGCAGATTTCAGCTGCCCCTCACATGAGTAAAGGTACAGAAGTGGTCGTGCGGTGGTTCAGGCCTGGATTCGATCCATATTGCTGTTGCTTGAGGTTTTTTCTAGAGTCGGTGAGGAGACGTGTTCACTCTAGAGGCTGACTCAAATTTTAGGTGAGCTGATTGCCCTCAGGAGCAATGCTAGTAGCCAATGTATATGCAGTGAGTCCAGAATAGCCCTGCTAAGATAGGGACCTCTCTTGAATAGCGCAAATAAAGCAATATGAATGTGAGCCCTTGATTTCTCGGCCACATTTTAGGAGTGTCCCCTGGCTGTGTTGTGATGAGCCCTCCCTGTTTGCCTCTGTGGCCTGGGGAAAGGGACTTGGCCCCAGAGCAGCCATCCATACTGGTGTAGACTTCTTACACTTCCCTCTGCTCCTTTTAATTAGGTTGTCAATATTCAGAGAGGATATCAAAATGACCAGCTTGTCCTTCTTGGAATGGACAATAGCAAAGCTAAAATCAAACAGGTATATGGAGGGATTTCTTGGTCAGTTACAGAAATGTGTATGAACATCAAACATGGGGAATGTTGTGGAAGAAGAGAAGGAGTGGAAGGGCACAGCGAAAGTGGTGTTAGCAGGGAGCTGTACTATAACTTAGGTTTGGGTTTTTTTCCCTTCCTCCTGCTCTCCAAAGGGTGCTACAGTGGCAGAAAGGGTACGGGATTGACCTTTATAATGATTGTCACCATTCTGCCCTAACGCTGTAGGGCTGCGAGTATGTGTTTGTGTGCACATGTGTTTCTCTCAGTGCTCATGGATGAAAAATGCAACGTGTTAATGCAAGATTAATCCAGGCAGGCACACTGTCATTATGTACTATGAAGAAAGCTGTCTTCTAAATCTCATTTTGTTATCTATCTCTAATATTCTGGGAGACAGAAAAACCTTTGTGTCAAAGAATTGCAGCACATGTTTGCAGCACAGCAAACTCTGTTCTTCCAAATGGCCCAAGGACTTTGTGGGCTAAATGAAAGCATACTGTTAATGCTCTTGGTGAGAAAGGCTGCCTTAGTTTTGAGTGAGCTTTTCCACCAGCATCCATGTGGCTAGATCTGTAACTTGATTGAGTAACCATTTGCTGTTTTGTTTGTTGGTTTTTTTTCCCCCTTTGTAAGTGTGAATGTGTGGTTTTTTAGCTGATGCAGTAACAAAAACTAAGGAATTGACTCTTGCTGCACAGAAGCAGCCTCAGCACTGTTATTCCTTGGTGGCATCTCTGCAAGGTGGAATCATGTGCTGGGTGGTGGAGGTTGGGTGTGAGGATGCTGGATTCACAGTCTCTCCAAATCTGGTCTTGTGAGTCAGGCTGGTCAAGTACAATCTCCTGGTGGTCCACAACCTCCATTCAGCTTTGAACTGTCCTGAGATTTGACATGTGTTTGAGCTTGTCATCTTTATCTAAGCTATTTGAAAACCTCCAGTTCTGTGGTAAAATTTACTACCTTACTTTTTTAGCAGTGCACTCCAATAAGGCAGAGACAGTTATGACTTCCAGGACCTTCTTGCTCAAGTCTGTCTCTGATGTTGGATGTGGTGATTCAGAGCTTACTGAGAACAGGGCAATGTAAATCCTTACTGTGAGGTCTGGAGCAGCTTATGGAAGACTCAAGGACAGTGGAACAGCAGCAGCCAAAGAAGCTGTACCTTCTTTTCTCCAAGATAAAAGAGCTAGAGAGTAACAAAAATCTGCAGTGATCTGCCTTTTGTGAGGGCATAGCTATCTGTGCAAGATGAATGGCACTGCCACCAGGAGCAGGGCAAAGTGTGTCAGGCAGAACAGTTGCAGCGCTTGCAGAGAAGGTAAGATGGGGTTTATCCAACATAAACTGCTACATTAACTGCTTCCACCAGGGCCTCCACCCCCCCATTTGAGAGATCTTAAAGAAAGGGCTGCTCAGGGTGGAAGGACTGCTATTACTGCTGCTACGTGCTGGTAAAAGGGCTCAAATCCCCTTGTGTAACTAAATAGGAGAGGGCCAGGGAGGCAGCCAGATCTGAAGGCATCAGTCTATTAGCTGGTCACTAGAAGGTGTTAAAAACACAGTAATTGATACTGTCTCCTGGGGGAAGAGGCAAGCCTTTCCTCTGGCCCTGGGATGTGGGACATGTAACTCAGGCGTCTGCTGCCTCATTTCCAACCTCAGTACCCAAAATCCATTAAAGTGTTGTAATAATAATGTTTTGGTTTTTTTCTAAGTGTGTGAGGATTATGAAGTTTTTTTGTTTGACTGCGTTTTCTGACACCTGTGTCCTAAGGTCATGTTCCAAGCTTCATCCTATAACCACAAGAGCTGTTTTAAACAAAGGAGGCAAAAATATCTCTGTCCTGAAGCTCTTGTTGTTTCTCCACATTTCCAATAGCTGGAACTCTAAAAAAAGAGCAACATTATGACAGTTATCATTAAACCACTAATGTTTTTGGCTGTTGCTTTGGTGTTCTTCATTTCCCTTCCATGTTCCCCCTCGCACTGCACTGAACACCAAGTGCGGGTCACTGTTGCACTTAGAGTGGCAAAAAGAAGAAGCCACCATACAATTTTAATTGTAATAAATGGAAAAAGAGACAGGGTAGCGATATAAAAGCATCTTTTATTCCCATATTATTAAAAAACGATACAGCTTTAGTGCTCCTGTGGGTCTATGCTGTTGCAATTCTCAGCTGGCAGATTTATTTTGTAACTGCCTCTTTCTACTGCTTTTTAAAAATTTTATCACTGATGACATTTACACACATTGTTTATGCATGCAGGGCATTTTTACCTGCCTTTCAGAGTCCTGATGCTAGTAGTGAATAGAGGATGAACTCCAGTAGTTTACCAGTACATTAGTGTCATCGTGCATTACAGGGTAATTACTCTGAGCCACTGCTCTGTGCAGTAACGCAGTAATGACACTGTAAACCACTTAATAGAAAAGAGGCCCTGAATCAGCATTTTTTATCAAGACGCTTCTTATTCCCCACCCCCTTTTTAATTTGAGAGTGTTTCAAAATCAGTTCTGTATACGAAGCACTGTTAACCATTATTTTTACACCTCTCAGTCTAACGATCCAGATGTGATTACATTATTTTTATGCAACTGTTTACATCATCCATACGCAGAATAATTCCAGGTGTAGCTGAGACCTCGGGTTGTAGTCTCATAGACTGAAGATTAAACCTGTGTTTAAAAACAGACCACTGGTCACTGACAGTAGCAAGGAGTCTCACAGATTAGAGTGATGCTGATTTCTGGCTTAGAAAAGGATTTTATGGAATTATCATAAAAAGCAATAAATTAAATTTAGCATTTGGACTAAAATTCTAACAGGTACTAAAACACAGCAAATAAATGAATTAAACTCACCAAATCCACACACTAAAACTATTTATAAAGGTTTATGGAAGCAGATTTTAGCATATATGTGGAATCATATTAAACATGAATTATACACCTGACGTTTAAAGCTAGGCAGTCTGAGGAGCTCTCCTCTCCTGTTGAGCTAGTGTTTTGCAAAGGTTTCCTTCCAAGTTGAAACTCAGGGAGTAGTTATCTTGGAGATTGATATGCTTGAAGTCAGTATGTTTCCAAAACATGAATTGGTAAGTGAAACCATATATTGGTCCCTAGTTCTCGAAATAAATAACAAATAAAGGAGGGATGGGAGGTTCTTGCCCTTCTGTGCAGATTTCTCTAGCCAGGGAGGTTGTTTTGGCCACAGTTAAGGCACTGTGGGTTTTTTTTTCCTGTAAACCTCAGTTGTGAAGTTCAGCCTCTGTAGACACAGAATCTGTCCCTACCCCTTGGGCAGCATGTCAGGGAGACAGACAGAGGTTTTGCTAATTTTTCCTCCTTTCTTCTGCAGCTCAGTGGCGTGTTCCCTTGTGCTTTCTTCCTTCAAAAGCTGGATCCGTTCTGCCATTTCCCCCCCTCCCCCCCCCTTTGTGCTTGCAATGTCTGAGGGAAAACAGTTCCTGAATGTCAGAAGCACTGCAAAATCTTACAACCAAAAATAGAGCAGGTTTTTGGATGCACACATTCTGTGTCTTTTGTTGTTGTTGTTGGGTTTTTTTTCTTTCCCAAAGGTCCCAGAGAGGGTCGATGGCTTTGCAGATGATGTGGGAGGATCTGACAGCTGGGTTCACTGCGCAGCCCTGGTCCTTCTCCCCAGGTCCAGAGAAAGGGGAGCACTAGGCAGCAAGGCCCAGTGGCACTCCTTGCCTTAATTCAAGCTGACGCATGGGGTCAGGCATCCCGTGCTTGCCAGGCTCTGAAACACCAGTTCTCCTACTTCTCCCTACCCAGGTCCAGCATTATGAGAGAGATGCTGTTCAGGAGTCTCTGCGCTGAGATGATGGTGGCCAGACACCTTCTGTTTCCAGGCTTTTTCATTTTCTGATTGAGTTTCCCTGGGAAAGCCATTCCCTCAGCTCAGGAGTCCTTTACAATGTCCCTCTGCTTCTCTCTGAAGTCTCTGCTTTTATTCATCCTGCTCCGTCCCTTTAGAGTTAGTTACAACTATATGTTTCCAGCTTCTTAAGGCAATACTATTTTCTTCCATTCTTCAGGTGGGAGAGCAGGGGAGAGGCTAATTTGGTGCCTTTGAGCCAAGAGTGGGCCACACACTGGATG